CAATAGGAAATCCACTACCTCTTATGTGTTTACTCTTTGTGGGTCGTGCATTAGTTGGAAGTCTCAGCTTCAACCCATTGTTGCCCTATCCACCACTGAGTCGGAGTATGTGGCCGCTACCGAAGCGTTTAAGGAAGCCATTTGGCTTAAACGTCTCCTAACGGAGATTGGTAGTTTCAAGCAGGATATTTGTGTGTTTTCTGATAGTCAATCTGCTATTCAATTGTGTAAAAACCATGTTTTTCATGATAGAACTAAGCACATTGATGTTAGATTTCATTTTATACGTGATATTGTTAGTGCAGGTCATATCAAGTTGATTAAAATTCCGTCGGAATTTAATCCTGCTGACATGGGGACTAAATGTCTCTCAGTCGAAAAGTTGTTGTCGTGCAAACGCACGTTAAACATTGATTGCGGATAAGTTGCCCGGTGATCTTACCCCTTTTGCCTGAATATGTCTTTGTGATTATTCGGGCAATCCAGCGATGATGAGTCTCATGTTTGTTTTAGAGTCATTTTTTGACTCTACACCACTATGGTCCAATAAGGTGGAGAATGTGTTGGTATTGGCCCAGCTTATTCCCTTAAGCCCAATTTCACTATGGTTTGTACCCGACCCATACCTTTTGCTTAGCCAATTCGCACCGCCTTCTCTGCGATTCTTTCCTTCTCGGCTTAAGCCTTATTCGTACTCGGTGATATCTTCTTCGATTGGTAAGTTTCCATTCTTGAGCTTGACCTGGGTCCTATTTATTCCTTACTTCTCCTTCTCTGAAGGGGCTGGCCGAAACCCTATTGTTCTGAATTCGAACCTGTGCTCCTCAGTGGACTTCCAGGAAGAAATTGGCCGGAAACAGTGTGAAGGCTGACGCCCCTTCTCCCCTAGTTGTCCTTGGTGGTGAAAGTCATCCTTTGTGGATGAAATCGGAGACCTGAGCTGGAAGAGAAGCCTTCTAAAAGTGGTATCAAAGCAGTCCGAGGAAGCTTGAAGCAGTTCAGCCAGTCCAGAAGCTGCTGCCTTCACCGGTCCTGACCTGCTAGCCCTTTGTTTGCTAATCATGATAATGTTGTTTTGCATGATTCTAATTCTTCTGAATTGCATGATTCTGATTCTTCTGAGCATGATACTACCACCACTTCGAGTGAGGTGGAGCATTCTCATGTGCATTCAAATGACAATGAATCGCATGATGAGAGTGCGGATGCTAGTGAGAATGATTTGCATGATTATCAACTTGCTAGAGATAGAAGTAGGAGAGTAATTAGGAGAACTGCTGATAGTATGCCTGATTATGCTTTCCATATGTGTGATACTTCTATGTTTGCTTTCTCTGTGTTTGAGACCCTTGAGCTTAACGAACCTAGAACCTATAGAGAGGCCCTTAAGTCTAATGAGTCCGCTAAATGGCTTTGCGCCATGGAAAGTGAGATGGAGTCACTTAGAGCGAATAAGACTTGGACGTTAGTTCCTAGACCGCCCAATAGTTCCGTTGTTGCCTGCAAGTGGTATCAGAGCGGGTCATGCTTATATTGTCGCGTGTTATGGTGGGGTCCTCGTGAGGGATGAGGACTATGCGAGCATGGTGGCTTTAGGGCCGGTACGTGCTGATGACGGCTCCACTCCTGATGGTCCGCAGGGGCGGATGGGTTCCTGAGGAAATGGGAACTCGAGTGGCCACCAGCTCGGCCGGGCTGCTTGAGAGAGAAGCGGCCTGGTGATGAGGCGCGTTGACAATATTAAGCATGGCGATCCTGAGGGCAGAGTCGTCTCCCCTAGCACGAGGACGTGCTAGATTTTGGGTGGGGGAGAATGTCACGGACCGTTGGTCGTGACCGTGTAAGGCTCAATGAATGGGACGGACCGACTGGCTAGCATGTCGGGTGAGGCATGTGGGAGGCAATAGCGTCAAGGAGGGTTCTGCCTTAGACGCTGAGGTCTGGCCGAGTTGGGCATGTGGGGCTTGACTATGAAGGAGACGGAGGCGTGTCTGAAGGCACAACTGGTCGGGAGCTATTGCCGTTCCCCTGATGAGCCCAAGGCAGGGCGAAACCAGTCTGGTCCCGTATGAGAGTAAGGCTGGTCCGCGGGGTGAGGGACCCCGGGACGCCGCACGGGCGCTGTGGGCTGCGCCAGACTCTATGCCCGTGACAGGTTTTAATAGACATGCTTTTATAGGCTAAGAATTCTGCTGCACTATTGATCTTCGGGTTGACATGGGTAACTATGTAGTTGTCATTTTTTAGCTTTGCCCGGATACTTTGAATATGTGGCCAGAATTGTCAATGCTGGAGTGATAGCCCTGAGAGTCCTTCATAGACATCTTTATTATCAACCTCGAAAATAAAATTACAACAATTACAGGAGAGGGATAATATAATCAATAGCATCATATAAAGCAATAGTGGGTTGGCCGTGGTTCGCAAGATGGGTAGCATGACCCATGTAGCTCCCCTGGTTATTTCTGACAATGGTAGCAGAGCGAACAAGGTCGGGTTTTAAAATGCGGGAAGCTATGTTAATCTTGCAGTAGTTAGAGGGAGGTTTGGTCTCTTGTCAAATGGTGATATATTTAGTGTAAATGTAAGGATATTTAGTTTAAATGATGCTATATGTAGCGTAAATGTATTAGGATTTTCTATTGTATTTTTGTTTGTTCACATATAACTGATCTCTTTTTTATTCATAGTAAAAACTAGTCATATTTTTCCCTAAGGAAAAGGTGATAATGCTATCTTCGTCTCAAAATACTTGTTTTGTTTTCCTTTTTGAAATATCTCAACAATTGTTTTTATTTCCTTTTGATAATATTACGTGGCTCATATGAATTTGTCTTCTTTCTATTCAAATTTTAAGCATAATTTTTTCCTTTTCAACAACTTAACAAACATGATAATATTTTGAAACTGAGCAAATATTATTCTAATCATAAATAAACTTCAGGTGTGGCCGGGTGAGCATAACAAATGGGATAAATGGAAAATGGAAAACAGATCGGACCAAAACTTATAATCCTGTTAAGCTGTATATAATTTTGTTGCCGTTCACCAACTGAAAGAAAAGTCGGTTGGTAGACAAAAGTCAAAAACTTCTAGATTCACTATGTTTTGAGAATTTAAGTCAAATCACACACCACACCAAAATATACTTTACATTAGGGTGGGCATAAAAACTAAATCCCTATCGATCCTTATGTTATCAAACTGAATATCGGATATTAAAACAATTCTATAAATGTGTATCCCAAACCAAAACCGTACTGTTTGAAACTGGTACATGACATGTTTTACATTTTTAACCGAAAAATATCGGACCATTCAAAACTAAAATATTTGAGATTTTTATATTTCTCTTATTTTTATGAAATCTCTTGATAAGACCAATAACTTTATAGTCAAAGTATGGATTAATTCATCTCAAAATAGCTAAATATGTGTGTTTGTCAAAATTTTGTTATGCGTTCCTCTTAGATAATTTATGTTATATTTGGTACAGATTGAAAGAATACTAAAGTATTAAAAACTATTCATGGCTATTAACTTCGAGTGTTGTAGTGTATATGACTATTTGTTGTATCATATTTATGTAGTTTTGCAACTTAATTAATATGGTATAAATCTTAGCTCTCACGGTACAAATATGAATTAGTACTAATATTGAACCTTGAACAATGATGAGTTTTTCTATTATATTCAACAATGTAATGAAGATGATGTCTCTGTGATGCATCATAAATTTGCTATATTTTTTAATTTCCTTAGTTGTCTTGCACTATTTGTGTACTTGCAAAAATTTAAAGATAAAAAATATTATAAGCCTCTTGAATCTTTCCTAGCATTTAGTATGCTCTTTCTTTTAGTTTTTTTTATAACCATTTTATGTGAACTTGCCGGTATGATAATAACTACTAATTGCAAGAGTTTCTTATATATTTTGGTTTGACATTATACCGTACCGCTTTGTATTGCTCCCAAAACGCATGACATCTAATGGTTCCAACATTAGAACCGGGTCATACCAAACTGCTAAAAACCTCACGAGTTTATTACGGGCTTTGCTAATTTACCGGACTGTTCAGGATTGCACCTAACTGACCACTCTCCAGTTTTTTGGTATATATATCAAGTTCTGTTTTTGGGGCTCCTAACTGACCACTCTCCAGTTTCTTTTTTTATAGCTTAGTCTTAAACCTTGACTCTGCCTATTCTCAACATTTTGACAGTCCATAGATACATCAGCATGTAAACTTGAAACAGAACTTCAACCAACTCAGTCAGAGTAAACTGAAATATAATCAACAAATAACTCAGCCAAACTATATTTCACTTTAATAAAGAACTCAATACCTTTTTTGTTACCATACAAAGCATTCAGCTGATATGGCATATACTTAAAACTTGTCTCTAGGGTCTAACACATTTGCATAGAAGATCAAGAAGTTCATTTTTTCAAGATCACCTCAAAACTTGTCTAATTTTGATTTCATAGTAGTCCCTATTGCACTGACAGAACTCACAGAAGCAGTTGAAGAGGCTACCATATCTTTTAAGACAAAAAACAAGTCAGATATTTCAGAAAAAAAGGTATTGACAGTAACATAGAGTGAACCTAAGATTCTAAGTGTTGTTTCATAATTTTTTTTAAAAAAATGATCACAAAAGATTCAACTGCAACGTAGTCTAAAATATTAGGAATATCATTTCCCAAATCAGTCCCATATGCTGTTTCATTCTCCTCATACGCTTCAAACACTTTCTCATTAGAAATTGCAGATTTAAGCATCAAGTAAGGGGAATACCACCTGGTTGGAACATCCAGGCGTAGACCACACTTTGTTTCCACTCATATCATGTCACGCCCCAGACCGCAATCCAAGCGCGTGTACAACCGCCGTATAACTAAGTGACGTCACCCACGAGTCAGCCTCACTTAATTACACAAGGCGTTCGAGAAAACAATTCATCCATACTCAGTAGTAAACATACATAACAACATCACATTTAAACCAATGAATAGCGGAAATATTCAACGGTAAGTCATGAGCCACAACCGGCCAACAACATGGGCATGCAAGCCCAAAAAGTGTTTATAGTAAACAAATATCCATGAGCAAGTGTTCGGTAGTTTGAAAGAAAATAAGGAAGCACGAACCACGTCTTCCTGATGTGATATCACCCGTGAGAAGGTGCAAGTAGCAAGCTCTAGCTTCAACCTGAAAATGGTGGGGCCCCCCGAAGGGGTCAGTACAAGTACCGAGCGAGTAGCAGGCTAAATATAGAATAACTAGCGTTTCAAGTATAAGACCCAAACATAGGGTGATACTTAAATAAATAATCTTTCCCCCAAGTTATGAAATACTTATTAGTGTATATATACTTGGAAAATATCCGATCCGTAGATCACCATTTTATTCGGGAAAATAGTAATAGTCAATATTCTTGACTAAAAACCCCAACCCACCCATATACCTATGAGTGTATAGGACTCCTCCTTGTCCCTACTTGTATATCACAATCTATGAGTTTTAGGATCATAATCCTTGGATACTCCACCGGTTTGTGAGTGTTAAGGACTCATAAGTCCTAGGGTCCTCCACCAAGTTTGAGTGTTAAGTACTTTTAAGTACTAGGGTCCTCCACCAAGTTTGAGTGTTAAGGACTTTTAAGTCCTAGGGTCCTCCACCAAGTTTTGAGTGTTAAGTACTTTTAAGTACTAGGGTCCTCCACCAAGTTTGAGTGTTAAGGACTTTAAGTCCTAGGGTCCTCCACCAAGTTTGAGTGTTAAGTACTTTTTAAGTACTAGGGTCCTCCACCAAGTTTGAGTGTTAAGGACTTTAAGTCCTAGGGTCCTCCACCAAGTTTTGAGTGTTAAGTACTTTTTAAGTACTAGGGTCCTCCACCAAGTTTTCCTATGATCAACCTCCTATCAACCTAGATAGAGTCTATATCATCCTTAGTTACTCATAACTAATCCAATACATAAATCTTATGTATCACAATCCATGCAAAGCCATGCATTTAAATAAATGTATAATTAACTAACATCAACCAATATTAATTAATCCATCATCCATCGGTCAACGTTGTCGTTGACCGCCAATTCAAGCCTTGTTCACATCAACTTAATCATCATATAATTAAGTCAATAATACTCATTTGAGCTTCTTTTACACTTCAAGCTAATGTGCATTTTATATAATCTCTCATATCATATTTCATGCATAATCAATTAATTCTTTTCATACAACTTGATAATGTTGGCTAATCACATGTTTAATTATCTTTTAAACATCATTATGAAAACATATAACATTTATTTAGGTAATCTCATAATTAACCCAAAAGTTATAAGATATTAAGCCGTCCACTCACCTTGAGCTAGCGTTTTGAAGTTCTACCCTTCTTGGTTGAACTCCGGTGAAACTCCGGCGACTTTTGGTCAACTCCGGCGACAACTCCGGCGACTTTTCCAACTTTGTGAAATCACTTGAAACACCCTTTACAAGTGCCTAACAAGGTTTTATAATCATAAAACCCATATTAATACAAATAACCTCTAAAAGGTCATTTCCCGGTGAACCGGTCGTTTTGGCTTCTAAGTCCGTTCTTGGACTTAGAACCATCTTCCATCCCATAAATCCATACTCATAACATGTGGAACCATACTAAAGGTCCTTCACATGATATATACCTCATATGGTAGGAGAAAATGAAGAAGAAGTTATAATAAGGTCATTACCTTAATTATTCACACTTTTAGCACTTTAGTTCCTTTTCTTGGGATTTCTTCTTGTTGAGCTCTCTTCAACAATGGAGAAGGAAGGTGGAAGCTCTCTTGCTCTTGCTGGATGAGGGATGGCCGAAAATTAGGGAGAGAGGGGGATGGGGATGAGCTTTTGTCTCATTAATCCAATGAGTGTAGAATGGGGGTCCACTTTAGGTACCTTTGATGCCATTTCCTTCATATCACAATCCCCTCCCCATACTTCCCTATCCCACCAGCCGGCCAACACTCTCCTTGAGTGTCCAAATTCGTGGGTTGGCCCCCACTCATGTGGGAGGTCAACCCTTTTTGTCCCGAAGTGTACAATCGGTCCCGAAAGTTGTATTTTTCGGACTGTTTTAAATATATTTTATTTTATCGGGTCAAATAAAATATATTATGTGCTCTTACTCATTATGACATGTATAATGAATATACATTCCCCAACTTTAATTTATAAGCCTCCGAAATTCAGTTCGGGCTGTTATCAGTTAAATTACCAGTACCGGTAATTTGGGCTTCTTTTGACGAATCGGTCAACTCTGGGCCTTTCCATGGTCCAAATGAAATATTCACCACTATATATTTATTATCTAGACCAAGATGAATAAAATATATGGTCTCGGGAATGTCGGGCGGCCCCCCGCTCCCGGTGTGGGTCCCACGTGCAATTTACTTTTCACGCGAAAGAAATAATAAAAATTTACAACTTCGTAAATTCATTAATCCCTTAGTAAGGTTCAATACATTATTTACATAAAAGTAAATATATTTGGGGACGGTGTTACAAGTTCACCCCCCCTTATTTGGGATTTCGTCCCCGAAATCCAAGTATCTAATCGAAAAGAAATGGGTATTGCTCCCTCATTGAGACCTCGGTCTCCCAAGTTTCTTCTTCGACTCGATCACTTCTCCAAAGAACCTTTACCATAGGAATCTCCTTATTCCTAAGCTTCTTCACTTGTTGACCAACAATCTTCACTGGTCCCACCGCATATTGCAAGTCCTCACGGATCTCTACCGGTGGTTTCTCAAGAATATGAGATGGGTCTCGTATGTATTTCTTGAGCATTGATACATGAAACACGTCATGTATCTTCTCAAGTTCAGGCGTCAACTTGAGACGGTAAGCCACGGCCCCTATCCTTTCAAGGATTTCAAATGGACCGATGTATCGGGGGTTAAGCTTTCCCCTCGATACGAATCGAATGATGCCCTTCCAAGGAGAAATCCTTAGGAAGACCTCATCACCGACTTCGAACTCCAACGGTCTCCGCCGTTTATCAGCATAACTCTTCTGTCGGTCCTGAGCAGCCTTCAATCTATCCCGAATGATCCTTACCTTGGCCTTGGTAATCTCAACCAGCTCTATCCCTTCGAGTTTGGCCTCGCCAACCTCGTCCCAACACAACGGTGTTCTACATTTCCTCCCATACAATGCCTCATATGGAGGCATGCCGATACTTGCTTGATAACTGTTGTTATAAGCAAACTCCACTAGGGCCAAATGTTTGTCCCAACTTCCTTGGAACTCCAAAGCACATGCCCTAAGCATGTCTTCCAAAATCTGTATCACCCGCTCGGACTGTCCATCCGTCTGTGGGTGAAAAGCTGTGCTAAACTTCAGTTTAGTACCCAGCGATGCTTGAAACTTTGGCCAAAATCGGGATGTGAATCGTGGATCCCTATCCGAAACAATGGATATCGGGACTCCATGTAGTCTCACAATCTCCTCCGTGTAAAGCTTGGCCAATCTTTCAAGAGGATAAGTAATGTTGATAGGCAAAAAGTGTGCACTCTTGGTGAGCCTATCAACCACTACCCAAACTGCATCATAGTTGTTCACTGTTCGTGGTAGCCCCACCACGAAGTCCATGGTCACGTGCTCCCACTTCCACTCTGGGATGGTGAGTGGCTGCAAAAGCCCTGCCGGGTGCTGATGCTCTGCCTTAACTTGCTGGCAAGTAAGGCACCGACTCACATACTCAGCAATGTCTCTCTTCATACCTGACCACCAGTAACTTTCCTTCAAATCTCGGTACATCTTAGTACCTCCTGGATGCATAGCATAAGCTGAAGAATGAGCCTCCTCAAGTATAGATTTCTTGAGTTCCTCATTCTTTGGTATGCACACACGATCCTTAAATAGTAGAAGACCGTCATCACGTACCCGAAAATTCTCGACGGGCCCCTCAAGGATCCGTTCGCGGATTTTCTGACATTCCTCATCAATGGCCTGACTTCGACTAATCTCGCCCAATAGGGTGGGCCTAACCTCGAATCGAGCAATGAGAGCCCCGCACGTGGACACCTCCACGCGCGCCCTCAATGCCTGTAGGCATGTGAGTAGCGTCCCCGACGTACTCTTTCTGCTCAGTGCGTCGGCCACGACGTTGGCCCTTCCTGGATGATAGTCGATGATCAAGTCATAGTCCTTGATCAACTCCATCCATCTTCTCTGCCTCATATTCAACTCTTTCTGAGTGAATACGTACTTCAAGCTCTTATGGTCTGTAAAAATGTGACATGTCTCCCCGTAGAGATAATGCCTCCAGATTTTCAGTGCAAACACTACCGCCCCTAATTCTAGATCATGGGTAGGGTAGTTCACCTCGTGCTTTCTCAATTGCCTTGAAGCATAGGCAATCACTTTACCGTTTTGCATCAGTACACATCCAAGTCCTTGGATGCTAGCATCGCTGTAAATGTCATACCCTATCCCCTGTATGGGTAGGGCAAGGACTGGTGCTTCGGTAAGTCGTTTCTTCAATTCAAGGAACCCCTTCTCACACTTGTCGTCCCATATGAACTTGGCCCCTTTCTTTGTGAGCTTCGTTAATGGGGACGCCAATACGGAGAATTTTTCCACAAATTTACGATAGTATCCCGCTAAGCCAAGGAAACTACGTATCTCTTTCACATTCTTGGGTCTCTCCCAATCCATGATAGCTTTTATCTTGGCGTTATCCACAGCAACGCCCGAACCAGATATGACATGACCGAGGAAACCAATCTCCTTGAGCCAAAATTCGCATTTAGAGAACTTGGCAAAGAGTTGCTTTTCCCTTAGCCGATCAAGTATAAGCCCCAAATGATGTTCGTGCTCCTCCTCGCTCTTGGAGTATATTAAGATATCATCAATGAATACTATCACAAATTGATCTAAGTATTCACTAAACACACGGTTCATCAAGTCCATGAATGCCGCCGGTGCATTGGTTAAACCAAATGACATCACAAGAAACTCGTAGTGACCATATCTAGTGCGAAATGCGCTCTTAGGTATGTCACTCTCCTTGATCTTCAACTGATGATACCCCGACCTCAAGTCAATCTTCGAGAATACTATGGCCCCTCGAAGTTGATCAAACAAGTCATCAATCCTCGGTAAGGGATATCTGTTTTTGATTGTGACCTTGTTCAACTGTCGGTAGTCAATACACATTCTTAGTGTACCATCCTTCTTTTTTACGAAGAGTACGGGTGCTCCCCACGGTGAATGACTGGGTCTGATGAACCCGTTGTCCAGTAATTCTTGTAGTTGGACCTTCAACTCTTGGAGTTCGGCCGGCGCCATTCGATAAGGAGGAATCGAAATGGGTTTGGTTCCCGGCTCCACTTCAATTACAAACTCTATCTCTCTATCGGGTGGAAGCCCCGGTAGGTCTTTGGGAAAGACATCCGGGTATTTGCACACGACCCGTACATTTTTGATGTCGACTTCCTTCTTGGTATCGTCCACCACGTAGGCAAGGTATGCGTGGCATCCCTTCCTCATCATCTTCCGTGCTCTCATCACGGATATTATACAAGCATTAGATTTCCCCCGATCTCCCTCGAAACATAGTGTGTTTCCTTGATCATCCTCGAGCTCTAACACCTTGGTGTAGCAATCTACTCGAGCATGGTGTTTCTCGAGCCAATCCATTCCTAGGATTGCATCGAACTCCAACATGCTTAGAGGTACGAAATCACAAGTCAAAGGTTGACCCGTCACTTCTACCTCGCACGACGGATAGTAATGATTTCTCTCCACGTCGTCTCCTAACGGTGTGGAAACTAGCAATGTTTGCGTCATAGGTGTCAATGGCACGTCAAGGCCCTCGGCGAACGCCTCACTCACAAATGAGCGTTGTGCCCCAGTATCAATGAGGATCCTCGCACACCTACCATTGATCTTTAACGTTCCTACATTTATACACCATGTGAGATACATCTTCTAATGTTTTTACACATCTTTGGAAGGTTATTAGGTTCATACTAATGTTTGGAATCGAACGGGGGTCCAAACGTAGAAGAACGGGGCGGAAAAATCCGATTTCCGGGTTCTGGGGTCCACGCACGGCGTGCCTGGGTGGCACGCACGGCCGTGCGTGCATCGGACCCTTCCTGCTCAACACTGCCTCCCAGGCACGGTGCCAGGCACGGCGTGCCTGCGGCCGTGCCTGGCCGAATTCCTTCGGGGTGAGCCTGCCTTCCAGGCACGACGCCAGGCACGGCGTGCCTGCGGCCGTGCCTGGCTGAATTTTCTTCGGGGTGAGCCTGCCTTCCAGGCACGACGCCAGGCACGGCGTGCCTGCGGCCGTGCCTGGCCCAAAATTTTTTTTTTTTTTTTTTTTTTTTTTTTTTTTTTTTTTTTTTCTTCCCTTTTTCTCTTCGGGTGCCACTGCCTTCCAGGCACGATTCCAGGCACGGCGTGCCTGAGGGCGTGCCTGGCCGGCAGTGGCTGTTTCCAGCCAGATTCGGCCTAACTCACCCGGTTCGACCCCGAGGTGGCCCACACTCAATCCCAACGACGTATATGATCAAAGCAAGCCTAGAAATACATGGGAATACGCGTATTACCTGCAACGGAGTCCGGATTTGCTCTCGCATCCGCCTCGGTCATCGCGTAGACTCGTGCTTGGGTCCCGCCTTGGTTTACGGATGCGGCATGGCTCGTTGATGCGCCGCCTCTCCCCGTGCCGCCGTTTGACGGCCCCGCACGGTTCCTTCCCGTCGTGGTTCCTCCTCCGGATCCCGGAGCTCCTCCTCCTCCTAGTTGTGGGCAATTGGCCTTCATGTGGCCCGTGTTTCCACATTGATAACACCTCGGGGGTGCGTTGCATTTCCCAAAGTGATTTTTCGAACAATTAGCACACCTAGGGGGTCCCGTCTTTTGAGAGGAGGATGCATGCCACCGAGCATCCCTGTTCTTCTTTGCCGGTGGTGCCGGTGTTTTGAACGAACCCCCACCTCCGCCGTGTTTATCCCTCCGTGCCTGCTCGGGCGGCCCCGAACCATGCCATTTCCTCTTTTTCGCCTCTTCGGCGTCCCTCTCTTTTCTTTCATTCCATTGGGCCTCCCCAAGAAGGCCCTGCTCCACCACCTCGCTAAAGGTCATGTGGCGCGAGTACGTAGCCCGATCACGGATGTCCAAGAGTAAGGCATCCCAAAAGTGCTCCGTCATACGGTTCTCATCAACCGCGTACTCTGGTAAGAACCTAGCCAAGGTTCTAAACTCTTGTTCCAGCTGCTTAACTGTGCCGCCCTCTTTCTGTTTAAGGTTAGTGTACTCTCTCCGTTTCACATTCACCTCGTACTCGGAGTAGTATTGAGCATAGAACTCTAGCTCAAAGTCCGCCCATGTTATTTCCCCATGGTACTTCCCTTCCACGCTCTCCCACCACGTAGAAGCTATCCCTTCAAGTAGCCGTGAAGCGACAGTCAACTTCACGTCCGGTGTGATTTGCATGTCTCTTGATGCATCCTTCACCTTCTTAATCCAATCGGCGGCAACGGTAATGTCACCGGTGCCGTCAAAGGACCTACACCCCAAGGCCCTAGCCTCCTTGAGGTACTTGGAGATTCTCACAACAAAACCTCCTTCACGCCCACCTTGTGACGCCGCTGGGGTGGCCACGGAAGCTCCCCGGCTTCCTTGACCCGAACCACCACGAGAGCCACGCCTCGCTTGGCGCCTAAGGTCTCTCCTCAGTTTCTCCTTTTGATACCACTCAAGTAATTCACCCATCTGGGCGAATCGGGCATCACTCTCATCGTCATCATCGGTGTATGTGTCCCCCCCATCATACGGGGTCTCCTCATGCTCCGTTTCTGGAACGTAGGTTGAGTCATAGTCCTCGGTGTTGGTTTCATACACCGAGCTTACATGGCCACCACTCACAGATTGAGCTTGATGACCTCCACGGCTTCCACGGCCTCCACGGCCTCCTCTCGAACCCCGAGATGCAGCCCGGCTTCCCCTTTGGGATACTACCGGCGCCTGCCCCCTCGGATTGTTCCTGGTCCTCATTCGCCTGCCCTCCATTTCTGAAAGAAATATGGATGAGCCATTAGACTCCTATAAATGTCAACTGACGGAAGAACGTTACAGACACGTATTGGCCCAAGTCACTACCATACCAATTGTTAAGGGTACCGTCTTAACAAGTAGAGGCCTTGCAACTTAAGCACCAATAGTCCTATAAACGTCAAAATACAATGCTCATGGTTTTCGGTAAAAACTCTTTTGCAAAATCTTTTGTGAGAGGTTGATTATATAGTTTAGAACTGAGATGGCTCTGATACCACTTAATTGTCACGCCCCAGACCGCAATCCAAGCGCGTGTACAACCGCCGTATAACTAAGTGACGTCACCCACGAGTCAGCCTCACTTAATTACACAAGGCGTTCGAGAAAACAATTCATCCATACTCAGTAGTAAACATACATAACAACATCACATTTAAACCAATGAATAGCGGAAATATTCAACGGTAAGTCATGAGCCACAACCGGCCAACAACATGGGCATGCAAGCCCAAAAAGTGTTTATAGTAAACAAATATCCATGAGCAAGTGTTCGGTAGTTTGAAAGAAAATAAGGAAGCACGAACCACGTCTTCCTGATGTGATATCACCCGTGAGAAGGTGCAAGTAGCAAGCTCTAGCTTCAACCTGAAAATGGTGGGGCCCCCCGAAGGGGTCAGTACAAGTACCGAGCGAGTAGCAGGCTAAATATAGAATAACTAGCGTTTCAAGTATAAGACCCAAACATAGGGTGATACTTAAATAAATAATCTTTCCCCCAAGTTATGAAATACTTATTAGTGTATATATACTTGGAAAATATCCGATCCGTAGATCACCATTTTATTCGGGAAAATAGTAATAGTCAATATTCTTGACTAAAAACCCCAACCCACCCATATACCTATGAGTGTATAGGACTCCTCCTTGTCCCTACTTGTATATCACAATCTATGAGTTTTAGGATCATAATCCTTGGATACTCCACCGGTTTGTGAGTGTTAAGGACTCATAAGTCCTAGGGTCCTCCACCAAGTTTGAGTGTTAAGTACTTTTAAGTACTAGGGTCCTCCACCAAGTTTGAGTGTTAAGGACTTTTAAGTCCTAGGGTCCTCCACCAAGTTTTGAGTGTTAAGTACTTTTAAGTACTAGGGTCCTCCACCAAGTTTGAGTGTTAAGGACTTTAAGTCCTAGGGTCCTCCACCAAGTTTGAGTGTTAAGTACTTTTTAAGTACTAGGGTCCTCCACCAAGTTTGAGTGTTAAGGACTTTAAGTCCTAGGGTCCTCCACCAAGTTTTGAGTGTTAAGTACTTTTTAAGTACTAGGGTCCTCCACCAAGTTTTCCTATGATCAACCTCCTATCAACCTAGATAGAGTCTATATCATCCTTAGTTACTCATAACTAATCCAATACATAAATCTTATGTATCACAATCCATGCAAAGCCATGCATTTAAATAAATGTATAATTAACTAACATCAACCAATATTAATTAATCCATCATCCATCGGTCAACGTTGTCGTTGACCGCCAATTCAAGCCTTGTTCACATCAACTTAATCATCATATAATTAAGTCAATAATACTCATTTGAGCTTCTTTTACACTTCAAGCTAATGTGCATTTTATATAATCTCTCATATCATATTTCATGCATAATCAATTAATTCTTTTCATACAACTTGATAATGTTGGCTAATCACATGTTTAATTATCTTTTAAACATCATTATGAAAACATATAACATTTATTTAGGTAATCTCATAATTAACCCAAAAGTTATAAGATATTAAGCCGTCCACTCACCTTGAGCTAGCGTTTTGAAGTTCTACCCTTCTTGGTTGAACTCCGGTGAAACTCCGGCGACTTTTGGTCAACTCCGGCGACAACTCCGGCGACTTTTCCAACTTTGTGAAATCACTTGAAACACCCTTTACAAGTGCCTAACAAGGTTTTATAATCATAAAACCCATATTAATACAAATAACCTCTAAAAGGTCATTTCCCGGTGAACCGGTCGTTTTGGCTTCTAAGTCCGTTCTTGGACTTAGAACCATCTTCCATCCCATAAATCCATACTCATAACATGTGGAACCATACTAAAGGTCCTTCACATGATATATACCTCATATGGTAGGAGAAAATGAAGAAGAAGTTATAATAAGGTCATTACCTTAATTATTCACACTTTTAGCACTTTAGTTCCTTTTCTTGGGATTTCTTCTTGTTGAGCTCTCTTCAACAATGGAGAAGGAAGGTGGAAGCTCTCTTGCTCTTGCTGGATGAGGGATGGCCGAAAATTAGGGAGAGAGGGGGATGGGGATGAGCTTTTGTCTCATTAATCCAATGAGTGTAGAATGGGGGTCCACTTTAGGTACCTTTGATGCCATTTCCTTCATATCACAATCCCCTCCCCATACTTCCCTATCCCACCAGCCGGCCAACACTCTCCTTGAGTGTCCAAATTCGTGGGTTGGCCCCCACTCATGTGGGAGGTCAACCCTTTTTGTCCCGAAGTGTACAATCGGTCCCGAAAGTTGTATTTTTCGGACTGTTTTAAATATATTTTATTTTATCGGGTCAAATAAAATATATTATGTGCTCTTACTCATTATGACATGTATAATGAATATACATTCCCCAACTTTAATTTATAAGCCTCCGAAATTCAGTTCGGGCTGTTATCAGTTAAATTACCAGTACCGGTAATTTGGGCTTCTTTTGACGAATCGGTCAACTCTGGGCCTTTCCATGGTCCAAATGAAATATTCACCACTATATATTTATTATCTAGACCAAGATGAATAAAATATATGGTCTCGGGAATGTCGGGCGGCCCCCCGCTCCCGGTGTGGGTCCCACGTGCAATTTACTTTTCACGCGAAAGAAATAATAAAAATTTACAACTTCGTAAATTCATTAATCCCTTAGTAAGGTTCAATACATTATTTACATAAAAGTAAATATATTTGGGGACGGTGTTACATATCAAGTCAGTAATGTCTTTGAACTTTTGAAGCCTAGCAGGTGAGTTTCTAACATACTTATTAACAACTTCCCTTACTCTCATGACTGAGCTGTCTGCATCTTTAAGGCCATCTTGGACTGCTAAGTTCATGATGTGTGTCATACTACACATATGAAGATATTTTACTTTGATAGTAGAAGAACCCTAGGAAATTAATTTTTTTCTTGAAAAAACCAAGAGTATTTTTTTTACCCGAAAAAACACCTTTTGGGTGCGGTGAATGTCGGGAACATTCACCTGAGTTTATTAAAGAGTAAGTGTTTACAGGGAGTAAAATTGGGAGGAATTTGGGCCAAACAAGATTCTGATCTAATATAATACAACAAAAAGGAATATATGTTCTGTGAAACATAATCGGTCCAAGCGTGAATGTGAAAATCCCTATCCGCCATTCAGTTCTGCACTTTAGAGAGAGGGAGCATACGAGAGATTTATTCCAAGTTCCGGAGACTTCCATCGTTTAACTGGTGTCTCAAAATTCCATCGATGTGTGTTTCCCTATGATGAACGTAACCAATAGCAGTATCACTACTACTAACATTATCATCAATCACAGTAAAAATACTTTTCGGACCCCACTCTAATAAGCAATTTTCTAAGGCTTTAACAAGGTACTCCCCTTTGTGAGAAGTGACAGGGACAAATGAAATTGTTTTTTATGAAGCTTCCACTGATCATATATGAAATGAGTAGTAATGCACATATAATTTATCCTCTGAATAGAGGTTCATGTATCAGTGGTTATACTGACTCTCTAACTTTGTTCCCTAAACATCCTTTTCATACTCAATCTTTCATCAAGGTACATTGACGAAACCTAGCAATTGTCCACCTAGAAGGAATCTGAAACATAGGAAAAGCTACAAAAACAAACTTCCTAAAACCTTATCTACCAACAATCTAAAAGGAAGCTCATCAATGATTAACATTTCACCTAGAGCTCTCCTAATAGCTTCTTGGTCAAACACCCAAGTTCATATGGCCCCAATATTTTTTTAGGATCGACCTACCTGTGGGAAAGGTTTAATTCCTCCCAATTTTACTCCCTGTAAACACTTACTCTTTAATAAAGTGCTCCCAAATCTTAGATATCACTTCCACCACTTTTCTTTTCTTTTTTGTCTAAAAACAGTAGGTGGTGCAGTTTGCTCATTGGTAGTGTTAGGCTCAGGAGTTTGACCTTCCACCATTGTTTCTTCACTCAAGAGAGGTTGAGATCCAGATATAGAGATGATCATACTTTCTTGACCTTCCATCTATATATTGGAATTATATTATCATTGATTTCATTATGTTCTCAATACTTAGGTAACTTAGCTTCCACATAGGTCACACAATTCATCATAAATAGGTAACATGTGCTAATTTCATACTTAGCTTCCACACAGGTAAGACCTTTCATCCGAAATACTTACATAGGTAACACATGCTAATTTTATACTTATCTTTAACATAGGTCACACCTTTCATCATAAGTTCACAAATCAGAAGTCACAAGGCATACAAACATTCACATCTCAAAGGACAGAAGCACATTCAGAATTTAGAAAACAACAAACAACCTTTTCATCATCATTCTTATCATCTCAGTATCTCACACTTATATACTGATATTGGCAAAAGCTTCTTCATGAAAACAATAATGCAGTCATGTACAAAGTAGGAAATACATGATAATTCATAAGTTTATACTTAGCTTCCACATAGCCACATAGGTAATGCTTTTCAGCCTAACTGCATAAGTTCACAATGAAGCAACCGCATTCAGAAATCAGAATTCAGAAATCAGAAGCACAATCATAAATCAGAAGCACATTCAGAATTACGAAATAACAAACAACCCATATATTTCCACTCAAACGACATATACACTATTGTACAAATCTGAACTCACAAATCAAGTCACCATTCAGTAACTCAAGACACATGCATCAACAATTAACAGGGAGTAGCGGACTACATATACAATCCATATACTTCCACTGAAAAGACATGCATGCATCCCCAAGGGTTCAACATACAATGAAACAAAAATGCATAAATATTTTATAGTTTATACCTCAAGATGTTCAAAGAATAGAGAACAAAGAACAAAGATTTGTGTCAATCTGTGTCACGGCTGTCGGCTTCCACTACCAGTCCACCACAAAACAAAGATCCACCGCCCACCGGTTATCAGATCTGAGAAGGCAGATCACAGAAGTCAGAAATGAAGACGGTAATGACCATTGTTCTAAAACTCGCTAGGCGCTAGTCGGGCGGTTGAGGGGCGCCTAGCGCCTAGGCGGCCAACTAGGCTGATTTTTTGGCCGACCAGCCGATTTTTAGAACAAAGGTAATGACCTAGCGACGGCCGACGAAGAGAGAATGACGGTAAGTCACTAATTAAGATTGCGAAGAGAATTGGGTACTCAGGTAACTCATCCGGTAACGACAGTTGATGAAGAGATAAAGATAGACGAAGAGAATCAAGAGATAGAGAGTTTTGAGTCTCTGAGACAAAGAGTTAGGTTAGGGTTAGTCGATTAGTGTTCTGAAGGAGTGAAGTACTGAAGGGTAATGGGTAGTTTAGGATGTTTATATACGAAGGGTTGGTCGGGTAGACAAACTGGTAACCCTACCCGCTACTCGTTACACACCCAATTTTCTCCTTAAAATTAATCTGTATCCATTAGGTCGAAACACTCGTAGGAGGTGTTTACTTCGCTGCTAAAGTCACAATTAAGTTAGTAAGACAGGTGGAGTAAACACGCAAACTGTTTAAAAAGATGCTTACTAACCGAAAAAGGTGCTTAAAGTGCCGCTTACTAAGCATACCACCCCTTCATATATTAATTAAGAGGCACTTTAAGCTTTTCTAGTTTCCGATTTTACCCTTACCCCTTGCCCTTACCCTATTGTTACCCCTCTACCCACTACCCCTCACCCTTTACCCACCCCCACCCCTACCGCTTACCCTATCTTACCTTACCCCGACCCCACCCCACATCTACCCCACCCTCGTACCTTACCTCTTACCCCTACCCCACCCCACCCTCGTACCTCTTTACCCTACCCCTTTACCCTTACCACATGCCCCTACCTCGGCCCAACCCCGACCCCTCCCTACCCCATCCTACCCTGCCCCCACCTGTAACCCCTTACCCTACCTCGACCCCACCCCGACCCCACGCAAACCCCCTTACCCCACCCCTACCCCATTCCTCCGACCCCTACCCCCTTAACCCTTACCACCCCTGACCTTACCCTACCTGAACCTACCCCATTACCCTATACCATGCACCCTTACCTCAACCCCACCCTGACCCCACCCCTACGAGTAGGATAGGTGTTAGGGGTATGAATATGGGGTTGTAGGGGAGTAGGGGTAGAGGGGTAAGGTCGTTGTAAGGGTAGGGGTAAGGGTCAAGGGTGTGGAATTAGAAGTAGGTGCAGGGTAGGGGTGGGGGGTACGGGGTATAGGGCGAGGTAGGGAGAGGTGTATGGGTACACGTACATATATTATATTATACTTCCTCCGTCCCTAATAACTTTGCCAAGTTTGACCGGCACGGGAATTAATAAAGTAAAAACTGTGTGGTTGAGGTTTGTGCAGAGGAGAGAGAATTAACTGGAACCACAAATTCTTTACTTAAATGGGAAAGTGGCAAAGTTATTGGGACATCCAAAAAAGGAAAGTTGGAAAAGTTATAAGGGACGGAGGGAGTATACGATAGTACTTGTGTTCATGAGTGTTTGTGTGTCTATATATGTATATGGTTATTTTGGACATTTTAATGTTAAACGGTGTTTTAAATCCTTTGAAGTAAACAATAGCTTATAATACTGCTTATTTTATGCGCCGTTTATTAACGCGAGTTTTAATAAGTACCGTTTAGTATTTAGTAAGTTTGTAACCAAAGATATGTGTGTGGGTGTTGATAATTAGATAAGTTTGTAAAATAAAATACAATCATCACTCTCCCCTAAAATACATATTGCCCGACCAAATATAGCCTGTGCCCTAACTCTCCCCTAAAATACATATTGCCCGACCAAATATACCCTGTGCCCTATGCAGGGCCGGCCCAGGGCATGGCTGTCCAGTGTGACCGCACAGGGCCCAGATTTTTGAAGGGCCCAAAAAAAAATTAGTATTACACCCCAGCCCAAAATCCCTCTGCGTAAATCTAAATATGCTTGAAGAATGTCCCTTTTTAAATAATTTGTAAATTATTAATGACTATTTTTATCATTACATTTATTCGTAAGTTGTATTTTAAGACAATTTGCTTGTGTTGCAATTTGAAAAAGGCCCAAATTTTATTCTTGCACAT